TTATTATTATTATTATTATTATTATTATTATTATTATTATTATTATTTTTCAATGTTGTACTTATTTTAAGCAATCAAATAACTATATATTTTTATTATTATTGTAACCTTACATATTCAAATATATATTTTTGTGTATTATAACTAATCTCATTTAAAAAATAAAAAATGTTTTATATTGTGAAATGAAAACAAACTATTATTTAGTTAAAACTATGTTTGAAACAGTATTTAAAAATGTTTTAGTTTTTTAATATAAAAGACAAAAAAATAATTTCAAACTTGCCCATTTGTTTCTGTTTTTTTTTTTTTTTTTAATATCTTTTTCAATTTTATTCTTATCATACAAAGTACTGTGATTCTATGGAATCTTTAAGAGTTAATGATTGAATAATTTTCTCAACATTTTTGTTAACTGTTGTAATGATATTGTGTTCAATAGTGTTAACTAAATTATTATTTAAATTTGAATTACTTGATATCCTCCATAAAAGTTCTTTGATACTTAAGGTACTATTTTAATTATAATAATGACAGGAAATCTTATTTTGGTGCTTTATTATTTTAGCAAGTTTTGCAAACGATTGCAGTAAAGTAGTAAATTATATGTAGTTATGACCATAAATTACATCTGATTGTATGGAACATAGAGAAAGTTGTTATTTGCATTATTATATATTATAATATATATATTTATTTATTGTAAGAAAATTAAAAGTTCTATTGATATTATAATTTAAGTTTGAAAAAATAAAAGTTCTTTATGTATATAAAATTAATAAATATTTAATTTTTTAATGATCATGATTTATTTTTATTACATCATTAAAATGCTTCCATATTAATTAAAAATAAATTTGTTGAACAAATAATGTGTAGTACTTTATTTAAAAAAAAAAAAAAAATAGATGAAAATAACAGTTGAATTTTACATCATAATTATATTTATTTATTATTATTAAATTATTATATATTAAATTAAATTAATTTATTAAATTTTCCACTACCTTTAAACACCAGAAGATGATAATTTTTTTCAACAGTTCTCTAAAATACATGTAAGTAATATAATAAATAATGTATTTTGTGCTTGCAGAGCTCAGATATAAATGTTTTTTACTTGGAAAAATATATTTATAAATAAAAAAAGTATGCTTTAATAACAATTGTCAATCATAATTCATTATCATAAAAAATAACTATCGAAACCTTTTTTTAATAGCTCAACATAAAAGAAAATTATTTAAAAAAAAAAAATAGAAAACGTTTATCATTATTTACATGTATAGTAAACTGAAAATAGTTTATTTCATAAAATTAGATAGAATTAGATATAAAAATAAATATAGAGTGCACTTTTAACTTGATATATTTTCTCTGATTCATGCAACAAAATTATTACTTTTTTATTTATGATGATTTATTTACTGAGACCTTATGAATCAAATTCTAGGTATAAAGAGGAATTAATTCTGAATGAATGTGAGTTATAAAATTGAAAATTTAATCTTCTATGAGTTCCCTATTGTTAATAAATTTTTGTTTATGTTCTTTTCCTTCGCCTTTCTAACAAGTATTTGGGGTCGGCCACTTTTGTCCTAAACCTTCACTCGTCTCGATTTTCTACATTCTCTACGCACACACCAACGGCCCTTATACCATTTCCAATCGTATCAAACCATCTATTTTTTGATCTTCCTCTTCTTTTACCCTTCAACGTTCATTTTCAAAACAACTCTTACTGCATTTGATTTTTTTTATACTTATTTGTAATTAAATTAAGTACTGTCTTATTTATTTGTATTAAAATAAAGTCTTTTTATAACAAAATACATTTATAGTATGATTGGGGCGTGGGGTCAAATCCTATCCCATATATACACCTTAAATATGCACCTATGTGATAAAAAAATATTAAGTATTACCGAGTATTATTGGTTAGATTCAATTTATATTAAAAAAACATAAACAAATTTCATATTTGAAATTAAATTTTTTTATTGATAGTTAAATTGTTATGTCCGGAGTAGTCTTATCATGTGGAGGACGATTTATATGAGTGGGCGAACCATTATTGAGAATCGAGAAACCATGAGAAACAGTATTATGTAAAAGAATACCTCTGGATAATGGTAAAGCAGGAATCCACACGGGATGGTGAACATTGAAATCACTTGCCAGAAGGAAGTTTGAGGGTAGAAAAGAAAAAGTGTGATCCAAGATTATATTAGAAAAAGTAAAGCTGGGAGGGATATAGATCGACCATAATGAAATGGATTGAGAAACGAGATGGGAGTCAAATAAATCAACACCCACTAAATTAATATCATGCTGAATTAAAATAGCAGATAAGAAAGGAATAAGAGGAATGATACGTTACTGAAAGGCCCTTACGAATAGCAATAGCTGACCCCCATAACCGTCAAGGCGATTAGAACGAAAAGGATGATAATTATTTAACTTAAAACTGGAGTTCGGAAGGAGCCTAGTTTCGGATAGGAATAATAAAGGAAAAAGGTACCTGACGATCAGCCTAGTTAAGTCTAAAGAGCGAGATTTAATACTACGTAAGTTCCACTGAAGGAAATGGAGGTCAGACTTATTGATAGTGGAACAAGCAAAAACACGACAAAACAATTGAGTATGACCGAACGGCCAACATTTCTTGAATTCGGTAGAGGAGCGTATACTTGGGTCCATTTTGAATTTGACTTTAAAAATAGAAATTAATTCAGAAAAAGAAATCGATTTGAACTTAAGTTCAACTAATATGGACGATAACTGTGAACCGTCTATGGACGAGAAAATTCTTTTAAAACCAATGAGACCAATCGGCGAATCAACCCCATCCCAAAAGTCTTCTTCCGTGAATAACGGCTCAATCCGTATCACATCGAAAGAATAAATCAACAAAGACGAAATGGAAGCTGACCAGTTAAACTCAGATAGAATTGACGAACTAAGAAAATTGTTCGATGTAGTAGCCGATGTGATTTTAATCCGGGCAGGACCGGCCGATTGGATATAGGCAATACCATCGACAACCTTGAACGCTAATATGTCGAACTGAAATGTGTGAAGATTGCCGACATTAAGCGACTTATTGACGTATTGGACAATGCAAATTAACGGGCTATTATTATTGTTGTCAGGGCCGTCCTTAGGGCAAGGCGAGTGGGACCCTCACCCCGGGCCCCGCACTCTCACCACAGTTGGACAGGCCTTGCTTTCATAGATCATAGATACAATAAAAAAAATAGTTAAATTGATGAGCAAAAAAAATTTACCCTTTCATATTGTTGTAAGAGCAAGGTACTATATTTGTTAAGATTGCGCACATTAGAATTCCACTATGCAATTGATGCTCGGTAGTGACATTTTCAACATTTAAGGACCCGCAATTTCACTTTGCCCCGAGCCCTGCAAATCATCAGGATAGCTCTGATTATTGTCGTAATAATCGGTATTGGGATCCGTAATAATAAAAGACGATTCGGCTTGATTATTGATACTAGAAATCATCCCATTATCAACGCACACGCTGATGGACTGTGACTCCTCATTAACGGTGTTATCGTTATATACCTATATCATATAAATATAAATGGAAATAGATGGCATAAATACGTTGTCGGGTGGAGACGAGGACGTAGAATTGTTGTCGATAAGAAAAGGTCGATTAATTTAAAGTATAATGTTTTTAATAATATTAACTTATGTTTTTTCTAGTACACAAATAATGTTTAAAATCACAACATAAATTATATTTCCCAGAGTCTTTCTATCTATTTCTCCAGGCTCCAGGGAACTAAGCATTTTGTGACATACTTTATCGCGATTGAGAAATATTTATAAATATTATTTATTGTTATAAGATATTGTATAATTTTAATATTTAATCCATATTTCAAAGAACAATACATTGTTATATTTGTACATGGCTATATTCTAACATACGCTATAGAATAATAATTTTAGTAAAAATCGTTTTGAAACTTAAATGAGGGCGTGTAAAAATTATTACAACTTTAACAGACCTAAGTATTTCATCGGTTAGTGTTTTCTATAATTAAAATAAATTGTTGTAAATAAAAAACATTTACATTTAAATTATATTTTTTGGTGGCACGTTGCCACGGAAGTGACGCTGTCTCAATGATGATACAGATAATCTATTCAATTATATCTATTCAATATATCAATTTTACTTATATTATTCTATTTACGTTTGTTAAATATTTTCATTTTTACAAATTAAATTTCTCCCAATTTTTGTTCAAAATATATTTAATAATATACAGCCTTAACTTTTCTTATGATAGTAAGAAAAGACTTTAATAAGCCACCTTTTTTGAGCGGTAAGTGGATGGCATCGAAAGGTTAGATCGATGTACTACTGATGAAATACGAAATAAAAAATATACTATCTTTATCAATAGTAAAATGGTATGATATCCAGCCAGTATAAATGTGTTCGAACTATATTGTTTCAGGAGAAGTCGACAAAGTTTAAAGATGGGATAAAATAACTAAGCAATGTTTAAATATAGATCGACCTGAAGTCATTAAAATGTATAGTTAAAGCATGGGATGGGTCGATAAAGGCGACCAGTTAATTGCGTGTTATAGAATTTTTATGAAATCGAAAAAATTGACTCTTTACATGATATTTCATGCCGTTGATATAGCTTGCTGCAATTCGTGGCTAGAATATTTCAAGGACTGTGATAAAATCAAAATTAAAAAAAAGATAGAATGAATTTATTGAATTTTAAACTTTGACTTGCTGATAATTTAATTAACCATGGTCGTTCTCATAGGCGGCGATATGGGGGATTACGGGGGCTGAGCACCTCTTCAAAAAATAAATAATTTGAAGTTAAAGCCCCCATAAAAATATTAAACAAACAATAGCGTACTTTTGTACAGTTTGCAGAATTTTTATCATTATTGTATATTCTTATATCCACAAATATATAAGTGTATCTAGTTTGTTTATGAAAGAGGCCATATTGAAGATATTAAAAAGAATATTTCACCTCAAGTATTTACTAATTTTTATAAAATGATACAACTTGATTTAACACTATTAGTTCTGACACTTGCGAAAGAAGTTTTTCTGCTATGAGGAAAATAAAAACATGGCTAAGAACATCTATACATCAAAAAAAATTTAATGAACTTTCAATATTATATATTGAAAAATATAAGACTAAATCTTTAAGTAATCAAGTTATTTTAAATACTTTTAACAAAAAATGTAATAGAATAATAAAATTAAGTTAAAAGTGGTAATTGTATTTTATTAATTATTCTTGTTTTCTGTTTGTAAGTATTTAAATTATTATGATAATGAAAAAAAAAAAATTTATGAGTGATTTAATGTAAAAATTATTTTGTTGAGGGTGTGGGGACAATGTCCCCACAGGTCGGTTTGGCATCAAATATTTGAGCCCTCCTTAATATTTCACAGGATTTCCACCTATGGTCATTCTGCAGTGATAAAAGGTAGAGAAGGAAGACCAAGTATGAGTCCAGAAAATTCACCATAGATCAAAAAAAAAAAAAAAGAACCATTACCACATGAAGAATCATACAAAGATTTAATTGGACACTTTCCGATGTATAACAACAATAAATTACGTTATAAAAGTAAAAATGAAGATTGCAGCGCGAAAACTCACATGAATTGTAAAAAATGCAACGTACATTTGTGTTTTGTAGATCATAAAAAAAGAAATTGTCTCACCGACAATCACTTATAAGTAATAATATAAGAATTCATATTCATTTAAATAACGTATTACGTGTTCAATAAAATTGAATATAATATTTAAATAAAAAAATACAGTAAAACATCAAATTATTATTTTTATTACATGTGTGTACATTTAATAACCATTGAGTACCTACCAATGGGTCTTACAAGAACCAACTCCATAACTTCCTCACCTCAAAATTTGGTAAGTACCTTAAATAGAGCGAATAGATAAATAGAAGTCAAAACATTTTGTTTTTAATTGTTGTAAAATAAGTACTGAAAGGGTTAACACACAAAGCGGGTGTCACAGACCCATTTTTATTTTATCCTTAAAATGTTTCAAAATATAAAAATCATAATATTTTAACTGACCTAAAATTTCTTAAAAATATTTAAAAAATAATCAATTCAACCATGGGTGGATAGCCCTACCGGGAAACCGGGCATTTCCCGGTGGGCCCCTCTTCGTATTTTGGTAATGGGGCCATTAGATATAAAATATTATCCATTAGATATAAAATATTATCCATTAGATAAAAAATAATATCCATTAGATATAATATATTATCCATTAGATATTCATTAAAGTAGAATACAAATTGGAAAAAATGTTTAATAGACAAAATCTTTATTTAATAATAAACAACCACTTAAATATATACAACTTAAAATGTTGAATAATCATTCACTTATGGGCAATGAAATTTGTTCAGTGGAATCTGCACATCTTTTCTTACTAATTTTAATAGAATTAATTTATTATTTTACATTTAACAAATATTTAAGTATTTGTAACTGTAATAAAAACTAAAAACTAATCAATTAAATTATTCATTAATTCTACTAATTACAAAATATCAATGTCTAATGGACATCCATAAAAATCTACTGTGGCTTATATACCAGTTACTTTCTATGAATATCTAATATATATCTAATGGATGAGTTGTGTTATGTGGGATTATTTTAAAGTTAAAAACTAAATAAATGATTTTTAAAATATGTCTTGTTATACATTGTTGGATTGTGTGTTATGCTTTGTTTTGATGTGGTACTTAATAAAATTCATATAATAATGTATTTGAAAGCGACTTTTTTTTTAAATAGGGGCCCCTTTTTAAAATTTCCCGGTAGGCCAAAAATGGCCTATCCGCCCATGAATTCAACCATAAATGTAAGTCACAATTGCTGGTAAATCGTTATAAAACTTATAATTTATAATTTACCGTGTCGTCATATGTATCACACGATAAATATTGTACATGGTACTGTACTGATGATAAATTAGTTCAGAGTGGTGGTACACTGCAGTAGTGTCGTCTACCGACAAATTACCACTACCGCCCGTGTTGTGGGAAGTACGGGCAAAAAAATCCGTCTCCGTAACTTCTGATGACTAAACAACGGTGTTTCTGTATATTGTTAATTTTTTTCAATCCAGAATCTCACACTGAAACCGTTGTAATTTAATATCAACTCAGTTTCATCTAATGGAGTTTAATCTGGGTGACAGTCCGGTCACATCGCATTCGTGGAATGGAAATAGAAGTCGTAAGTTTCATCTAATCTACCGGAACCCGTACGCGAAATTAACTAAACATCGTGTTGTTAAATTATCATGTAGAGATCGCAGTAATCCCGAATAGCAATGAAGTCCATATTTACAAGTATGAGCCAAACCTTAGCGACTGGACACTGTTAGACAACCTAGATCAGCACGGACTTCTAATAACCGGTATCGATTGGGCACCTAATACAAATCGAATTGTTACGTGTTCAGCGGTAAGTCTTTACATTCATATTTTTATACGTTTTTTTTTAACTTGAATTGCATTATAAAATCAATATTTTCATAGGACCGCAATGCGTATGTATGGACCATTGATGATAAAGGAAAATGGAAACCAACTCTTGTATTATTAAGAATCAGTAGAGCCGCAACTTGTGTTAAATGGTCACCAAATGGTAAATATGAAATAAATGGCAATTATAAATTATGTAACAATGATTATTTTAATTTAATTTTATATCCATAAGATCTATAGTTAAACCTGTACTACTTTTGTACTTTATACTATTAGTACTAGTATTTCAATTATAGTTGATTAAGTTTTTAAAAAATGTGTGTAGTTCTTAACATTTAATAATTAATTCTAGTATTTCTAATTTTGCGTTGTATTAGAAAATAATTTTTATGTATTTTCAATTGCCAATAAGTGTATTAAAAACAACCATAGGATTTTAAAATGTATATTCTTACTTATGAATAATTTTGATTGTTTTGTTTTTCAAATCATTTTCAGAAAAGAAATTTGCTGTTGGTTCAGGAGCTCAGTTAATATCTGTATGTTATTTTGAAGTTGAAAATGATTGGTGGGTATCAAAACATATTAAAAAACCTATCCGATCTACAGTAACTGCATTAGATTGGCATCCCAATAATATGGTGTTAGCTACTGGTACTGCTGATTTTCGAGTTAGACTGTTTAATGTACATATGAAAGAAGTTGACCAGTGTCAAAAAGTTAAAACTGCTTGGGATAGTGATGATACATCAGTGCCAAATTTAGTTGCAGAGTTTACCAATTCTTCTAGAGGAGGTAATTATGTTAACAATTAACATTTAATCACTAAAAATAAATAAAAATTCCCTCTTCTTGTGTTCAACCTTATGGTTGGTTTTGCTTCAGATATGCACTTTCTATTTTTTCCTGTTTTCAGTTAACCTCTTTAGTTTAGTGTAGCTTGATAGTCTAGAATTGGAGATTCTTCTTCTTCTTTGCCTTTCTCCCAACTATTTGGGGTCGGCCACCGTTGTCCTAAATCTCCACTCATCTCAATTTTCTACATTCCCTACACATACACCAACGGCCATCATATTATTCTCAATCGTATCCAACCATCTCTTTTTTGATCTTCCTTTTCCTCTTTTCCCTCCAATGTTCATTTTCATTAGTATTATAGATTGTTTGTCAAATTAAATTCTTATACATTCTCAGTTTCTCTTACCTTCAATTTTCACTTCTATTATTCTATAAATTAGTTCATTTTTGTGCTTTAATATGTGACCAATATTTCATTGTCTTGCTTTGATAGTTTTGAGCATCTCTAAATTCTTCTATTTCACTGAGTATGCTTTTGTTGGTACTATGTTCTATTCAACACTGTTTAAGAATTATTAAAATCTTTTATCTCAGATTGTATGATTATTATTAATTTAATTATCTTATATATCAAAATATTTTGTTTTATATTAAAGATTTCAAAAAATTCTTTTACATTTTCATTTGAAATATTGTTTATACAGCTTTATCTTTCAACTTAGTCATATTATTAACTTCTATATTTCTTTTTTATTCGTAATTTTTACAGTAATTTTATAGTTTGATTAATATTATATTTAATTTAATATTTAGGTGGATGGATCCATGGACTTGCATTTAATAAAAATGGAGACCGATTATGTTGGGTGGCTCATGATTCATCTATAACTGTAGCAGATGTATCTAAAGGGAGCATATTTGTAAATAAATTAAAAACAAATGAGTTACCTTTCATTAGCTGTATTTGGGTTACAGATAGAGCAATTGTTGCTGCAGTAAGTTACTAAATTTGAGTACATTTTAAATATATTATGAAATTTAATCTATAACTTTTAATAGGGCCATGGATGCTGTCCTATGTTATACTGCATTGACACTAATAACAAAGTGCAATTTGTTTCTAAGATAGATTGTTCTCAAAAAAAAGAAGCTGCCGGCTTGAGGTAATTTAGTTTATGCTGAATTCAACTTTTTTTTAAAGTTATGACTTAAATATGGAATTAATTTTTCAGTGCAATGAGGAAATTTCAAAGTTTAGATCGACAAGCACGAATTAACAGTGACTATGAACTTGATACTAAACATCAGAATACATTAACTTGTTTGCGTATTCATTCTGAATCAAATGATACAGTCACAAAGTTTACAAGTAGTGGTTTGGATGGTAAAATAATATTATGGGAACTCAATGTAAGTAAATACTTACTAATGATATTTATAATTTTTGTTACAAATCAACAAACATTTATTACGTTTAATTAAATAATAAATGCAATCATACATATTGAATTTAATGTAAATAAATATACCTGTTAAAAAAAAATCTTTACTGATATTATATTATCTTTTATTTTCAGAGTTTAGATAAATTGCTTCAAGGTTTAAAAATTTAGCCTGATGAAACGACTATTGTATGTACATAAATTTATTTGATTTCAATAATTACTTTACTGTTACTAATTATTTGTTATTTTATTAAATTATACTTTTTTACATTATTTATTATAGAAATATTTTGATAAATGCATAATGTACCATTAATACATGTTAAGAATTACATTTATTAAATTATTACATAACATTTATATTGTTTAAATGTGATAAAAGAAAAAGAACTAAATTAATACACATTAAAAAAATATTTAATATGTGTATTTTTTTTTATCAATAATTATCAAAAAATATTCATTTCAATAATGTACTACTAAGTTGCATTAATATAAATTTGAGTTAACAGATCTCTTGGGTTTTAAAATAGATCCCTTTGTTTTGAACATTAAATATTTAACCTGAAACTAATTTTTTAATAATGTTAACTATTTTTATAACAAGAATTAATTAACTAATTTTAATAGTTGAATTTTTGAAGTATGCAAAATATTTCTATAAGTACTCTGTTCGCAGAGAAAATTTAGTTATTTTATGCATTGGGGTGTGAAGTAATGTGGGATGCTCTCCTATCTGTTATGACCTCTAGTGTTAGAATTTTAATTGGGAGTTGGTGTAAGTTATACATTTGGTTTGTATCCAATCACATTTTTTTGATGACTTGAGTATAGATAACTCAATAGGAATTTTTATTTATAAGGATACTTTCTAATGACTGCTTAGATGTTTTAAGATGTACCATTTTTTTTATGTTAAATTATTAATGCAACAGTCCAGTTATAAAAGTCCTCCTTTATAAATGAATGATGAGGCACTCAAAAAAATGTTGGACTTTTTAAGCAGATTTCATATAGATATTTCTTTTAAAAAAATGTATATTTCACAAACATAATAGTATATTATTCATAAATTTAAATTACTAAGCATAATTCGTAATTCCCTAACTTAGACTGGGAGATGTTTTACAGTTATGATGAAAAAAAATGCAGATTTTAAAAAGTGCAAACCTGTTGTATATTCTAATATTTAATTGTTTATACTATATTAATTTACTATGTATACCTCAAATGGTAATTATTAAAATTAACAAATTAAGTGCTTGTCACATCTGCATTTATTGTTTTGTAACTTACTAATGTACAGGCAATTGTTGTTAGCTTTAATATAAGAATAAACTAATTTATTTTAAAATATTAAGAAAAATACATCATCTTTTTTATTGGTCGATTTCTTACAATATTTTAATTTATATACAAGATTTATTTTAAATTGTAATATTTCATATACCTAGTCAAGATGTGGTATACTCTTTAGCTTATTAAAATACTTTCTAGGTAACCGAAAAATGATAAATGTATACCATCCAAAAGCTCAACATTATTTAACTTAAGCCCCATAAAAATGTGATTTTTTTATTGAGCCTATACATAGTATTTAAGACATTATCTCTAAATGGCTGAAAACTAATCAGTCAAAGAGCAATATTTAAATTTTATACGCATAGATGAACTAACAAATATTATTTGTCTCAACAAATAATTTAATTTAATTTTCTTTCATAATTAAATAGTAAACATAACAAAAACAAAAAAAAACAATACAATACAATATTTTTAATAGTATTATATCTATAGTTTACATGGTAATAATCTATTAGTTAAAATTAAAAATATTTTCTATTTAAAATTTCTTACAGAATATTGTTATTGTTTTAATTTTTTAAGACTAAATTAAATGAATACATAACATATAAAAAATAGCTGTATTAGAAAAAAAATTAAAAGCTTAAAAATTAAACTAATAATTAAAATAAATAATAAATTAAGTAAAGCAAAGGATGGATTAAAATAAAATATTTTTGGTATCATTTTTTTATCATAGTTAATGTTGATTATACTTTAAGTATAATTTTAATATCAAATATTGATAAAGAAGACTAGTTATGTCATGTATACAAGAATATTAGGTTAAACATGGGATGAACTCACAAATAAGTATGTACTTATTATAAAACTATGTAAGAATAAGTTTAAATTAACAATAAATACCAACACAAAATTTCAAGTAAAATGTTCATAAAAAAAAAGTGATAGTCATTAAAAGAAAATTGTAGTAATATCAAACATAAAAATGACCAAAACTAGAATAATTATATTAGATTTTTCTTAAATGTTAATGGTAAAATTTGAAAAACTTATAGAAAAATTAAACAGCATCAATTTAAAAATAATAAATAAAACTTTTTAAAAAAAATAGGAACACTAACTAGAAAAAATCCAAACAAAAATGACCATAAACTGCAATAAATTAATATGATATAAACAAAAATGAAAAATAGTTAAATAATAAAAATACTGTAAGTATATCAACATATGTAGACTACTTACACCTTGTATTAATTGAAATATAATTGGTATTTAATTTCTACTTAAATTATTTATTTATTGCTACATTCTTTATACTTTTCAAATATTACTTCCATTGTTCTAGAAATTGTAAATGGAAATTTTTGAAATTTTCCAACATATTTTTCAATTTATCAGGCTGAGGTAGGATTGTAGTCCTAAAACAAAAGTAATAAGCCATAGTATAAAATTAAGCCAAAAATATGTTAATATTAGTGTATGCTATCTCTCGTGTGTTCTCTCTGTCATACAAATGTACAATATAGCAAATCTGCATACAGTAAAACAAATTTTATGTTCTTAGTTTTATTAATATTGGAGTTAACTAATCTATTATCAAAGAAAATTATTTGTGCAATTACAGGTTATTTAACAATATTTAAATTTTTAAGAAGATATGAGCTGTTTTTAAATTGTAATATTATATGTACTCATATTTGCTTTATATATTAATATATTGTAAGAAACTCAAGTTATAATAAAAAAAGATAATTTTCTTAAAGTTAGATCATAGATCAGTTTTCCCTAGTATTAAAGCTAACAATATAAAATTGCTTATACTGAATGCAGATTTTTTGTTGTACGTCTTTAATACAAACAAAAAATATGCAGGTGTGGCATACTCTTAGATCATATATTAGTTTTTAAAATTACATAATTAATTGTTTTGACAATTTTTAATCAATAATATATAAAAATAATTTTAAATGTAGAGCAAAATATATGATTTAATGTGACCTATGTTCTTTTATGGTTTTCTGCAAATTGGTAAAAGTTTAAAAAATATAGTTGGAAACCTCTTAGCATTCTTTAGGTTTTAACATTTAATTTAATGATGGGCAAAAGATAGCTCCGTGTATTAACTTGTACACCTTTTACACATTATAAAGTATACTTCATTAATTATTAACTTCTCTTGAATATATTATAATAAAAATATTTTTTCTGTGGGTAGCGTTTCTACAAATTAATATGCCAAAAAGATACTAAATTACATTTTTTTAATCTAGATTAGATATAATGTACTTCTGAGAATTGGTTTTATTAATCATTTTATGGCTAAATTTCCTCCCTGCCCTACTACATTACATATAATCTTAATTAAAATCTGATTTCATTTTTCATTTCTTAGATTATAAAATAAGTTGCCTATATTTTAATTACCTAAAATGATAAGTTCCTTCTACTTGTCCAAATCCAGATCCCGGTACAATACAAATACCCGTGTTTTCTAAAAGTTGAAATGCATAAAATGCATTTGGTTCAATTCCTTGACTTTTGGCTTCTTTAATTGCTTTTTCAGGTAACTTAAACTATAAACAAAATGATGAAAATTAATAATTATAAGAAAAGTATTCAAATATAAAATAAACTTACTTGTGGGAAAGCATACATAGCTCCTTGAACTGGATTACAAGACATTCCTGGAATACTGTTAAATGTATCAGCCACTAATTTAGCTCTTTCTGCTAATGATTTTAATACACTAACTTTTTCTTCTTTAAAACTATCATATGATGGTTCACCTGGTCTTGGAGGATTAACAACACAATCCATCACAGCCTATTTCAATAAGAAAATAATGAAATTTATTAAATATAAAAATATAAATCTCACTTACCTGACCAAGAACAGTAGGACATAACATAGCTGATATAGATTTAAGTAACATTGCCTTTACTTCAGGATCCAAATTAATTACTTCTGTGTAACCACCTCTTAAACCACATTCTCCCATATAACCTAAAATAATTATTTTTGTTCAATTACAACATTTTATTAATAAATTATTTTTAATTCAATCAAAAGTATTACCTTTCGAACAAGACATGAATGAAGCTAATTCCATTTCACTGTAAGGAGGTCCTAATTCCGTTAACACTTTTTTAAATGAATAAAATTTACTTCCTTCAGCATATACATTATCTTGATATACCTAATTTAATAATAATAGTGGTAAGTGGTATACTCATAAAATACTATTAAAATTTTATAAAAAATTAAATTAAACGATGATAAAGTATAGTATTAAAATAAAATTGTTTTTGAATATTACCTCATCAGCAAGTAAAAACAGTTTTTCTTTGTATGCAAATTTGATAACATCCTCCACATTTTCTCTAGTTAATACTTGACCTTAAAAATAAATATAACAAATTGAAGTATTAAATAAATACTTATGTTGCTCATAAATATAAAATATTTTTGAATAATTAAATATTAATATTTAATTAATTAATAAGATGAGATGGACAATAGTTTTGGATGTCTTTAAATAAAGTATAGCAAATAAGATAAACCCACTTGCTTTTTTTGCAATACTATTCATTTTTAATTTTATAATTTTTAGTTAAATCAGATATTGGTTACGAAAAAAAAAAAAAAAAAAAAAGAGTAATTTACACTACATAAGTATTTAATTTAAGATAATTGTTAAATAAAAACAAACCAGTTGGATTTCCAGGATTAATAATCACAATAGCTCGAGGATTACAATGTTTCCGTGCTTCGGTTATTGATCGTTCTAATTCATTCACATCCAAACCCCAATTTTTAGATTCATCTAAATAATATCCAACCTAATAAAAATAATAGTAATAATAATAAACTTAAAATTGGCAAATACAAACTTAAAATGTCAACTTTTATAGAATCTAAAGGTCTGAAGCATGGTTCACTAGAATTAAGTACATATATTAAAGTAAAACAATCATATTGCCCTAGTAAAATAAAATTATTTATTTTAATGAAAATAATAATGTAATAATATGAAAGAATAATTAATTAAGGATTTTTTTTTTAATATTAAAAATGCATTGCTATAAAAATTCTAAGTTAAAATTTTAATTTTACTACAAATATTTCTTCAAAATTGGAGCTATAAAATAATTAATAAAGATTTTTCAAAATCTAAAAATATATATTTCAAAATAAATATTACACCTGAGATGCATCAAAATTTACTGAAAATACTGAAAAATAAATTATATGATTTTACAGAAGTATAATAATATGAAAATAGTATACATTATGTAATATATGCACACGTATATTACATAATGTATTAATTATAATAGAATAATCTTGTTATTTCAATTAAAATTAAGTAATTAAATATTATCTTTTATACATTAACATTCATAGTTGGTACATGAACTTCCTAGAAAATACAGTTGTTCTATTTATTATAGTTTTAATATACAATAACATTCATTGATATTAATTATTAATTAAATTTAATGTCAGACACTTTCTATAATAGGTATCTATTAAACACAATTATGAAAAACTATAAGAAATAACAAAAATATAACAATATGGATACATTAAAATATACTTTCTAATAAATTTACATGTAGTTTTATGTATTAATTATGACTTAATTATTGCAGTTATGTAATCATTAAAATAACTGATTAGATTCATTAATTTTTTTAATTCCAATCAACAGTAATCATAATTGAATAATTATATTTTTTTTATCAAATAAAGATCAATATTTACTCTAGCATCATTAGTTTTTCAACAACAAATATGCCTAAATGATAAAAAAAGTTTTTATTATTTAATACCTATTTCCATAAAAGATATTGTAAATAATAATAATATATATATATATATATATATCATAATAAATACAAATTTGTTTTCTTAACTATGTCTACAGTCAGATTATAATCATTCACATGGTTTATTATTAATAAAAATAACAAGTATGGTATATTATTGTAAGAAATGCACAAACAAAATAACAATGTTAGTTTAATTTTGTTAAATTGAAATATATTAATAATGTAATATGGTCTATAAGTAAAACCTTAATTATCTTAATTTATAAAATTATTGATATCACTAACCTGTTTCATGTTAAATTCTGCTAGTGTAGCAGAATATAATGGATATTGTGGAATAGGAATTAAAACACCAGGTTTTTTCCCATCGACATCAGCCACCATTAATCGGAGAATAGCCTAAAATAATTAATCAATAATAAGTACATTTATAGAAGACAAAAATATAATTTATTTAGTGAAATTTTAATTTTTGGAAGTTAAAAATAAGGAAAAATATTAAATTTAATACTTAAAAATGATTACTTACTTTTATTCCATCTGATGCACCAGCACATAGAATGACATTTAAGTAATCACAAGGGATACCATCTCGACGTTCAATATACTCAGCGACATGTTTTCTTATTATTTCTATTCCTGGAGAATCTGTATATGATCCTAGAAAATATATTATGTATGGAATATGAATAAAATAATCATACAACACTAATAACTTGTATAATATATTATTGTGATTATTTATCATCATAACTAATAATTCATACAAATAGCAAAAAAAAAACATACATTATAATATGTGATTAAAATATTAAATTAATTTAAAATAGCTCATTTCATTATTCTCCCGACATTTCTAAAATATATATATCATAATTAAAACTTGAATAAGGAGTTTAGTAGGTCAAATCATGCTAAATAATATAATGTATACATTTCTTGTGATAAATCACTTTTAAAATTAAAATAGCATCAATGGTTTTATTTTTATACAAATCAAAAAAAAAATAGCTAAAGATATTTTTAAAGGTACTGCATACAATTTAACTGATTATGTATAATAAATGCAGGGAATAAATAATATAACAGTATAATACTGTTTGAACTGCACCTGATAATGTCATTATAAATTAAAAATGCAATACAGTAAAATCACTTAGAGCAGTATTTTAATTAAATAACTATAGTATATTAAGAGCATTATGCCAATACACAACAAACAGGAATTAAAATTAATATTGATTAATGGTTACCAGTGATAGTCAAGAATAATTTTAAATATATTAATAACAACTTCTTCTTTAACAACTCAAACTATCAAGGACATTTTGATTAATTTAATGAGTCAAAAAATTAATTCTAATTTGTATACCATTATATCAATACCTCAGTACTAATACTATAGAGTAAAATTTTTAATAGTAAGGATATTGTATAATAGTTATCATAATTTACTACTTTAATAATAAAAATATAAAGATATATCTAATCAAAAGTTAGTACAGTAATGATGATTGTAAAAATCTTAAAAGCATAATATAATATTAAATCTAAGTTTTGGCTCCAATATGAATATAATACGGGTAAAATTTAAAATATTTTAACCATTCAATTTCTATTTTATAATTTAATATCATATAGGTAATATTATTATATTTGTATTTCATTCTGTCTTATATCTCTCATGCTATATTTTAGATATGTAATATTTAATTTAGAATATTGTAAATTGATAACCCTGGGCCTCCAAACGAGTTTTCTCAGTGAGGCCCAGTAATCTTTTTGATTTCAAATAAAAAAAAAAAAAAAAAGTATATATAAATTAAAAATTGAAATTATAATTACCAACACTACCACCTCTGCATCCATCCAAAATAGTTCTAGCCCGTTCTTTGATATCTTCAGGATAGCGACTATCATCTAATAAGTCTGGTTGAGCTACTAAAGCTAACACCTATATATATATATATATATATAAATATAAAATATATTAATTTTAATTAATTAATAATCAATCACATATTTTATGTATTTTAGTTAATCTATAAGAGCACTATAGTCAAGCATCTCTCAGGGTGGATCAAAATTTCTAATAATTTAAGATTACCTTAATATAATTTAAATGTTTTATTGAACCTGATCCAATTTATATATATATTTTATTATTATTTTTTTTTTTTTTGATATAATGACTTTTATCTATTAATATTTATAAGTAATGAACATATCATATAATTTTGAAAACCTGATGTTTGTGAATAAATTCTTTAAATTTGAATTATTCCAAGTGTTTATATTTTTTAAATTATATTTAAGCATAACTATTATTAATTGTTGATTAAATAATAGAAATAAATATTTTGATAAACAATTGATAACAAGCAAAAAAAATTAGGACTAGGACTAAAATAAAATTCCTGAGTTTTAATTAATAAGAAAAACTTAATAGTAATTGCTGGGTAAAACAATCATTTAAAAAAAAAAAAAAATGTTTAAATAATTCACACTAATTTTAATTTTATTAAATTTATAAATTTTATAAGAGACAATATAATTATACCTGTCTTATGAATGTAATTGGCTTTTGTCCCATAGCATGACAATCACCAATATTTGCTTTAAGCACTTCTTTAAAAGGTTTTTCAACTCCCTATTATTAAAAATTAAAATAAATTAGTAGGTTTTTTACCAAAAAGAAATATACATACCGTTTTCAATTCATTTTCAATTTGTGTTGCTCTTATCAACAATGGCCCTCTTACAGCGTATTCCATTATCCTTACATTTGGATTCATGTTCTCAAGATTTAGTACTTTTTGACAAGACGGCATGTTTTGGCTGGTGAAAAAGTTCCTTGGTTCCACAGAAAACCTCAAAAATGGGGAAAATTCTAATTGTGACTTGACATTACGGCATAAATGGTGATTTGCTGAGCATCTGACAAACGTATTTAGTCTTTGCAGAGACATTTTGAGTTTTTTTTTACAAAAATATGTAGTTTTATAAAAGAAACGGTCGAAACGACACACAGTGAGAGCAACAACTTAGTTAAGTACGTGTAGCGAGATATTAGAACATTTACACAGTGATGACGAAAACAGTACAGAACAATAAATTATAAATTAGTGTAACGATCATTGTAATTATACGGCTCGAACTATTATCTACTGGTAATTTGACATTTGTAATCTATTGACTAACAGCCAAGTATTATCGAAAGAAATTGGACTCGGCACAAAAAAGTTACAAACTTTGATCGACCTGAATAAAAGTTTATCGCTAATGTAATTGGCTCGATTTTTCCGCAAATATGTCAATAAACAAAAGGAAATAAGTGCACAAAATAAAAAAACTACTTGTTTTCTTACCTATTTATAATATACAAAACTTTACACGCGTGTTTTTTAATAAGAAAAAAAAAATGTTAAAAGCTGAGAAAATTTATTTCTGTAACTCTTACTTTTTATGAGTTGCAGTAGCACAGAAAATATCAACTGGGTAGTTTTCCAAAAATCAGTATAGCCCTTACGGTGGCACTAAAGTACTTGTCTTTATGGCGCTAAAACACGACTGAACGCACGGACATTCTACAGTATCTACTGCACTTGACACACACACAGGCTGTGACTCACGATACAAACCCTATCTTACGTGTTCTTGTGAAACGGCAAAAAAAAGAGAAAAAAAAGTGTGACTGTCGTAAAAGTCGATATTAGGTCGAAATGTTTATTTATATATTTTTCTCGTTAATCCTCGTTCCGGCGGCGGAGAGGAACGATCAATAAAATCGATTTAGCCTCGCACCCGTGTCGTTATTATTACCTGTATTCATAAACTAATGACCTTTATATTACGCGCAAACGTTATATAGAAATCGTTCTCTACTATTACTGCTGCAAATGAATACGTAAATATTTTCCGTAATCTAGCTTAAACTCCGCGTAACTGTGCTACGCACTATACAATATTACAATGACTGTATACCTACCTACGTTGTACGAGTCACGGAGACGGGGATCGAGATAAATAATATACCTCGATCGGTGATTTAATTATTAGATTATAATATTGCGCGGCGGTGATGGCTGCATGTACGTTGCGATAAACTCAAAAACGATGAGTTGGCCATTTTTATATAATTCGTATTGCATCGTTTAATAATGTTAAGACAAGATGCATCTTAAAGGTGTAAAAATATGGTATAAATCTCGCGCCCTCGTGGAACATCTGCGCCATTTATGTAAGCACAGTAATAACAGAAAATTATTCGATTATCATTTTTAAAAAACATAAAAACGTAAGTTTAAATTAAATTATTTACTAAATGAAACGCTGACTGAATATTGCGTTCCGAGATCACATACGATTTCCGGCTGAGATTGATTTCTGTTTTATTCCGAATTCGTCCAAAATAATACTCTATGGTTTAACAACACAAATTGACTCTTTTAAAACTTTTCAAGTATTCAGTATCGAAATAATGGATAATATAAAATTTTGAAATTTACCGTAAATGTGATAGATACATAGGTTTTCATTGGATCCCCGCCTCCTTTGAAACCACTCACGCTAGGTTTTTTTTTATCAAACACAATTTTTTATATTTCGATCATATTTTATCTGAACTCGTACCAGCCGAATCACTGAATTGTATTACATTATAATATATTATAGATTGTGATAAAATGACGGAACAAATTCTGACATTCGTTAAGAAAACAAGTGATTCTTGATTTGTGTTTCGGTTTGAAAATGATAAGCAAAAATTAGAAAATATATGTTGCTCGAAAATATGCAACAGTATGAAATTCTTTCGAGAAATTGTTGAAACATGAATTCTAGGTTTGAATTTCCATCATATCCCCTCATCCCGTACCTATTTAAAAATCAACTGGACGTCCGTGAAGCTACGATGAAATATTGCATTTTAGTACAATAATGAAATAACAAAAAGTATACAATAAAATAAAATAAGCCGTGACACGTATGTACGAAGAAAAAATATAAAATATAGAACTTGTTTTACATCATTAATCCATCGTACTTGAGCGTCTCAAAAATATAAACGGTTTAATTGAATTTAGCCGTCAACGAGATAGGCGCACGTGAACGGCGAAATACTTCAATTGTTAAGCAGTTAAACTATTTAAAAACGTCTATTATGCTTCAAATGAGGTAAATTATTATTTAAACCAAGGCTGAACATAGAACTACTGTAAAACTGTTATAACAACTGTATTATTGACTGTACACGAACGTAAAAAAAACGAGAGAACGTAATTGCTATAAATTTAGAAATAAACGCATATTAACCATAAATATCTAAATTAGTAGGTAAAAATCTACTAAGTTCCCCAAGCTTTAGAATCATAAAATTACAGCACACACAGCAATACAAAACAATCCGTAATTCTATTACGAAAGCAACAGGTCTCTAGTGATAAAGTTAGTACCTACTTAGAAAGTAAATACCTACAGTGAATAATTAAATACTAAATAATGATACACTGTGGTCTGTGATAACAATTTAGAATTTAGGTGGTACTGGTCAGCAGCGGTCACCAGTGGTGTATTTATAAATCACTTCGTGGGTTGTGAGTAGCATAAAATTATATTATTGCACAATATGTCCATAATATTTCTGTATAATACAAAGTATCTAATAAATGCCATTTTTTAAAAATAGATTCTGTTCACTGAAAAACTATTGCCAGAATTACAAGTCGTTTTATAAATCTCAATTAACTGAATTTATACGTGTAAAACAATGAGAATTGAAAAGTATAATTTTTTTAATCACATTATTGCATATAAGTTGTTTTGTAGATTACGCTAAGCAAATAATTCATAAAGCCTTCAGAATTATAAGCACATTTTATAGGTGTATAATATTATACTACTGTGTATAAATTTATGTGTATATATTAGATAATAATACAGTAATAAGATGCTAATCTGTTGGGACGTAGTTATCGAAATATCGAGTGGACTATCAAGAACTAAAGACAAATAATTTTAAATAATATAATAATAATAATATTTTATAATAATATTATAATTGTAATCCAGTACAGATTTCAAATTGGAATGTTATTGCAGTTTTTGCTCGGGGACTTACAAAATCTAGCGCCGTGTTAGCTGGCCCAGTATACCACTAATATGAATGATGTCTGCTACTGTTCAGTGGCGTGACGAAATCAACAATTTTCAGAGGCAAGTACATTTTGTTGACACCCACCCACATGGCCGTATCTGGGGGAGATCCATGGTGTCTGGACCCCCCCCCCGGAAATTTCTTCAATATGTTTAAAATACTTATGTATTTCAATACCAACATAAATATTTTTAGTCAAAAATGTCTTAAGCTCCAATTAATCATTGACTGCTATAAATTTTATATCATAATATCATATGAAAATATGATATAAATTTTTATAAAAGAAGATTAAATCTTTTTCTGTCTTATTATTAACCAAATATCAAAAGTTAAAATCACAATTCAATAAAACTACAATATACATGTTTTGGACCCCTCCTGAAAAAATTTTTTAGATACGGCC